CCGTTGAATGTGAAGAAGTCCATGGTTTGTAAAGCAATTTGGAAGGGAAGTGGGAATAACTTACCTGCACATGTGTTAACCCTTGCGCTACGTCGGCGTAGACGAGAGGCACATCCCAAGTGTTCCCTCACTAATAAATCATCCATGCCAGATTGTGTCATATGACAACTCTGAACCGACTGATTGAGTTGGGCAGAGAGAGCACTTTGTTGTGGTGTAGGCAGTGGAGAGACTACGGTCTGTCTTCCGTGACAAGTACTGCGAGTGGTGTGTGTGTATGTTGGTACGCCAGAACCCCAAAATGTGGGTCAGTATTCAGAAGGAGCTATTACCACTGACGTCAAGGGGTTGAGGCCAGAGCACCTATTCTTCGCCCCCATCCTCCCTTCATTGTCCAGCCACGGCTATTGCCACAGCTACATGGGTTGACTTGGTAAAAACGATTCGGTTAAAATCGAATTTTAAAATGGCAATTTACACACAGTGCAAAGAGTAAATGTTGCATTTGGTGACATTACAATGCGACATTCTCGCTTATTTACAAATTGAGTTTATCCTGCTTTTGTATTTTAGACTTCCTGGAACACCGATTCAAGTGCTGGTAGGTTATCCCCTCCCGACTTGTTATTCCAGATGCTAACACATTTAGAAAATGCAGTGTTCTCCTTTCATCTCCTTCGTTTGCTGATAGCTCAGTTGGAGCGAGTATTCGGTGCGGGTTACAACAACCTTATCAGTCACCCTACAGATCCGCAGACAGCAATGTCAACCGTGCAGGTGTTGCCGGGACCGCAGCTGGAACCGCTTCAACCCCAACCGGCTCCTCTTCCTCCTCCTGCTCCTTCTCATCTGAAGGCGCTGCCTCAACCACCAATCAAAAAACGAACTCCGTCAGAGGTTCGTAGGTTGGAGGAGGCTCTACTGCTTTTTGAGTCTTGAGATGAGAAGTGGTATGGTGGTGTAGGCGCCGATGATGTGATGTACATATGCGCTCGCGTGATTAACGGATCGACTGGACGACTCATACTTATGCGCTTTGCTGCCCACTTCGACACCCATGTGGAAGCATCAATGTCTTCTTCTACTTTGTTTGTTTTTCTCCTTCTCTCCTCTGCATCCTTCTTCCCTCCACCCTCTCTCATCCTCTCTTCAAACGTACTTCAATTGGAATACATGCACTTATTGAGGGGGAATATGCGTGGAATATCAGAGGCCCCTCTATTTCAATATCATGTCTGGCAGCTTCTTGGCTGTTGTGAAGGATGTGGTAGTTTTCCTAGGCGGTGTTAACGCTTGGAAAGAAAGTGGGGGTAGGTCACTGCCGGCTGGACTGTCAGAGGTTTTGCTATTCGTCGGTTTAGCGTCTATAGTAAACATTCCCCATTTCCCTGTCTTTCAGCTTCATTTAGGGGTTCCTTTTCCTCTGCTCGTGGATTGGAGCACTTGGCAGTTGGCATACTCGCATTCACGTACTTCAACCAGAAATAAACGTTGATCCTACACAACCAGAGTTGGCTTCCTTTCCTCTCTCTAGAATATTTCCAATGTTGTATTGCTTGATTCAGCGGTAAGAACGTTGCTGAACTTATTCGCCATGCATACAAACGATTCTGCTGGTGGTAGATTCAATTGCGTTTGCTGGACACACCTCGATGGAGACGACTTTGTGGTGTTAACACACAGTGTACTCACAATGCATGTGGATAGGCTCCACTTTCTCCTTTTATGTTGCAGCTTCATCTGAGGGGCAAATCATGTGTTGAGTGATTGCATTTTGCCCTGTTGGTAGAAGAAGTCCTACCCGCCTACCCAAAGTGCCTGAGAGGACGCCTCCACCTCCTTCAGCCGAAGGAACACATCAGAAGCGTTAGGCAGGTATTCGGCTAGTAGAGGGGAAGCAGCTAGGCGACATGCTCTGATTCGAGCAACGCCTCACTATTTGGTATTTTTGGGATAAATCTGGGAAACTTTTGCAACACAAAGGAAATGTAATTTGTCACATAGAGAGATAATTCGCAATCTTATCGTCTACTACCCTTGTAAGCATTCCTTTGCCAGGAATCCAAGCATGGGAGCGATGTGTTTGGTTCCACATATCATTATGCACAGGGCATGCTAAACAGCCTTTTATTTCGGATACAGACACTGGAGGATGGAAGGATGCACAAGCATTCATTCATGATCCTCCTCCCCTCCCCCCTTCTTCCTCTTCTTCTATGTCGGTTAGAGATGAAATAGTTTGGAAGAATAATTTGTCGCATTAGATCCGACCTTTCTGATACTTTGATAAAGGAACGCCCATCTTTTTCGATCTGAAAAGGAGACAAGGCAACATCTTTCGTACTCCACAATATGTGTTCAGTAAGAAGGCGAGTTGATTGACCTACCACCTGTGCACGCATCCATTGGGCTAACTTGATCACCGAGTAAGAGCGGGTTGCGTTGGGCTTAGCCCGCCCACAAAGAAGCGTGCGTTTGCCATTCCTAAACATTAGCCTAAAGGAGAGGCTGCAAGCAAAATGAAGCTAGGGGGAATTGGGTCATCACAGGTAGGTGTTTCCTTGGACTATTGTGGCATTAGTAGCCGAACTACGCAAGCAGTCATGAATAAGATGTACCCACTCGATGGATCAACAAACACCTTGATAACTTATTTAACATTTGGTCAGAGTCCGTAAAATGTCTATTTTCAAATTGAGGAAATGCAAATATGGGGTGTTACATACCCTCAAAACAGCTAAAAATACCACCAAAAGCGCAACCGGTAATTGGAAATGTGGCTAGCAATTGAAGTAATACCTCATCGTTTTGGCCGATTAGCACTTATCCAAACCGCAATCACATCTTGGATGTAAAGCGTCTGTCGAATGGACACGTTTATGATGCCGGAGCAATGAACCAATCAGGTGAGGCCGTTAAGGGGCTTGTCGATGCTGACCAGATCGAAGGCGAGGCAAGTTCAAGATCTAATGGGGCACTCAAATTGTGAATTTTGACCTACAATCTGTGCCTGCTATAAATACGGCAATATTTACGGGATGGGGAGAAAATCATTTGTCCTGATTAAATCTCACGATTTCGCGAGCAATTCAATCAAATGCGAAAAGATGAACTCGAGGGAAGAGTGCCCACCCGTTTTATTACACAGAAGTCAGCTTATTGTCTAGTGACTTTAAATTGCATTTAAGGGTAAAAATAACAACTTAAAGCATTTGTTCCGAAAAATGCAGGATTTTTGGTGCTCAAAATATCCACCTCTGTGATATTGCTGGCCAGCATGGCTAAATGCCAGCTGAGTGGATCAAGTTATTTGAAAGAAGCTAGTGGCTTGCAGGTTCCACTGTTGGTCAAATTACGCCTAATTATAGTAGGAGTTTGCGTGACAGAGG